GAGAGATGAAACCGTCCAGCCTCCCAAGCCCGTGGCTGCCGGCGGGCCTGTGCTGCCTGCCTGGTTGGCTGGGGCCCGGCCAGGCTGCTGCAGAGGCCTTCATTATGCCTCTCGTCCCTAATGGCCTCGCAAGCCTTTGAAAGCCAGGAGCCACTCTCCAGAGCTCGGAGCTCGCACATCATTTCCGCAGCTCGGGCCTGGCCGACCTCTCAGCCCCCGCCCTCCGGGGCCCACCTCGCACTTTCTGCATCCCTCTGCCCATGTGATGTGTCCTGTCTCTGTCTCCTTCCAACTCGGCCTCAGTAGTTAGCAGCCCAGCCATCATCCGCCCCCCTCCTGGCCCAGAAGGTAGGAGACCCCTTCCAGGGTTAGTCTGAGGAAACTCTTTAGAAGAGATGGAATGTTTGGGACCAACCGATGGCATAGCGGCTACGTTGCTGGACTGCGATTCAGGTCCCAGACCCAGTGGCTTGGAAATCACGCCAGGAATGTGTGTACATGCCTGGAGAATGCAGGAGAAGGAATTGCAGCATGGACACTCCCCCTGGGGGGGACTTCTCACTTTTCCTCTCACTGTCTCTGTCTCTTTCTCTGGTGAGTGCATGTGCTCTAAGGCAGAAACTTCTGGGGGCAAAAAGAGAGAGAGAGAGATGGAATGTCTAGACCTGGCAGAATGACTTGCGGTGAGAGAGGAAAGGGTTGAGGGTCTTGGCCTCAGAGCCAGCGAGAGCCCCCTGTGTGACAGTGCCCACTCAGCGCAGACCCGCACGGCAGTCCCGCAGCGTGGACACAGTTGTCCCCACTTTACAGAGACTGCAGCTCAGAGAGATTACGTCGTTGCCCAAAGTCAGAAAACCTTTCCTTGGCAGAAGTGGGTTTGAACCCAGACCTGCCCAACTTTCCATCACAGACAGCACGTTCCAGTGCCCACCCGGGCCAGACAGGTAGCAGAGAGGAGGGCAGCGGGCCCAGTGGTAGGCCTCGGGGAGCAGGCGGGACTGTGGCAAAATGGGGTGTGCACACCTGGCCAAAGGGCCAGCCACGACTCAGCTCCGATCGAGAGTGCTCGGCAGAGGGGCAGGGCCTATTCATGGCGGAGAGAGAGACCCAGAGCAGAGCAGAACAGAGGGGAGGGAGAGACCCCACCTTCCTGCGTGTTCAGGGTCCCCTTCAGCAGCACCTCCTTAGGCAGCTGCCTCTGGCCCCTCTGGTCCCCCTACAGGTATGCCCCATCATCTCCCCCTGCTGGGGTCCCCTGCTCTCCCAGGGCAGGGTTGAGGTGGCCCTGGGCTGGATCTGTCTTCTGCACGACCCTTCTGGTGTAGGGATTCACTTGGGCCCAGTGTCCCGAGACCCAGCAGTCTCTGGGCCCCAGGCCAACACCAAGCAGCCAGACTCTCCTTGGCCCCCTGCCCTCCAGACTCATCACTGCCGTTGTCGGGCCGGACACTGAGCTCCCCGCAACCTGGAAGCCCTCTCCCTCAGCCTGGGGGGAGGGGGCTCTGCACACCCAGTTCTCTAAGGCTTCCTTCAAAGCCTCTTCCCGTGACAGCCCTTCATCTCTGCTCTCGTGACCCCAGATCCCTTCCTGGTGGATTTGAGAGCCTCTAACCAGTTCATGGTCATTTCCTTTAAAAATCCCCATTTTGATTTAAAGCCTCACTTCAGAATTTTCCATCTGAGAAATCTTCCTGCTCCATGAAAACACAATTTTTCTCACACAAACAGTGGCGGTGGGTATATAAAGTATCAAAGCTCCCAGGACGGAGAGGGAAATCGGACTTCACAACGCCGCACTTGAAAGGCATCACACGTTGAAAGAAAAAAGAAGGAAAAGAAACAAGCTTGATTGGACAATTGGACTTGTCTGTCCCGCAGGTCTCTTATCTCAGCACCCTAACACCCTCCCTTCCTTCCCAGCCCCCAGCCAGGGACTCTTTTATTTTTTTCTCTAGGACACGTGGGCTGGCCAGAAGGGAGAGAGACAGAGAGAAACAGTGAGAAAGTGAGAAATCACCCCCCAGGTCCTCCCTTCCCTTGGGATTGTGGGCCCACATACGCACATCTCTGGTAATTTCCAAGCCGCCAGGTCCCAGACTCGAACTGCGGTGGGTCTGTGGGAGTCCAGCACCCTAACCACCGTGCCACCTGCTGGCCCCCAGGCAGGGACTTTCTCCAGCTTCTCCAAACATCCGAACTCCTAATCACGACTTGAGCGGTAAGCAAAGATTGTCCCCAGAAATCAGGACTCTTCTTCCTTAAAAGGCAGTAGGGGGCTTTGTAGAATTAATTTTCCCTGTCGTAGATAGATTTATATATTCAAAGAGAGACATCGGAACCGCATTGTTCTCTCCAGGGATGGAACGCTGGAAGACTTGCACTTTCTGGATATAGTCTCCTGTATGGTTTGAGCATTTTATAAAGAGTATCTTCTACTTCTCTTCCATTTTAAGTTTTTAAAAAAATATAAATTTAAAAAATTGATGAACTACATATAAGCAACAGGCTTCCCTGGAGTTCCTCTGCCATCCCGACTCCCCTCCCTGAGGCGAGCACTGCTATTCCATGCACAGATTCTTCTAGACCCTCTGTAGGCATTCCCGCAGGAATAGAGAAGGCTGAGAAGTTCTGTCCCCAGGAACCTATTGATACAAATATGGTCACATTGTTTTCATTTCCATCCCTTATTTGTAGCCCATTGGTGTTGCCAATCTTCCTCTGTAGGTCCATCTAGAAGCCCCTCGCTCTCCTTTTAACAGCCACGTGCTATTCTGAAGTACGGTTGTGGCATCATTTACTCACTCCCTCCTCTCTTGAAGGACACTTGGGTTTCGGTTTTCACTGTTACAGACGCCTTGATAGACGCCTCCTCGCTGTCCTTTATCCTCAGGACAAGTGGCTTTCTTCTAGGCAGAGTCCTTAGGTCAAGGGCACGTGCACCTTTAATTTTAAGAGATGCTGCTGAATTACTTTTATAATCAGAAAACGGCACAGACAGTAAAGAAGAAAAACGGCCCCGCTCCCCGCTCCCCGCTCCCCGGCCTCATGCAGCACCATGAGGAAGTGGACGCGGAAGTGTCCGTGTGCTCGCGGAACCGCCATCTCCCAGGTGCGGACGCCCCTTCCCGCCCGTCTCCCGCAGCTCAGCCTCTGCTCCTCTTCCTGTGGCAGGTTCAGCCCCTACGAGTGGTACGACGCCCACCCCTGCAACCCCGGCTCTGAGGTGGTGGAAAATAACTTCACTCTGCTCAACAGCTTCTGGTTCGGCATGGGGAGCCTGATGCAGCAAGGTATGAGCCCTCAAAGCAGGGTCAGGGGTCCTCTCCCCATGGCTTTGTTTGCCTCTGTGGAGTCAGCAGAGCCAGCCCCCTCCAGGGGCAGCCTGAGACCCTGCTGAGCCTTCAAAGGGCTGGAGACACCTGGGATATGCAGCACCCCCCCCCGCCCCCCGCTCCCCGACCAAGGCCCACCACCATCCTGGCTGGGACCACCCTGACCCATGGGATGCAGGACACACCCTCCTCACCCCTGGCATTCCAACTCCAGCTGCGAGAACGTTACCCACATGGGGGGATTCTGCCTGTGCGGCCTCACCACCATAGACTCTGGCTGAGCAAAGTTGGGCTATGACTAGGAAGAGACTAGAGGCAGGGAGGCCAAATGGGAGGCCACCGAGGTGATGAAGCCTGAACTGGAGGTGGCCGTGGAAGTGAAGAGCAGATGTGGTGTGGACGGGACTAGGTGACTGCCTGGCTGTGGGGCACGCCGAGTAGGAGGGGTCTTGGCCAAGGCAGGGATTTCAGCCTGAAGAGACAGTGTTCTCGGGGCATGGCTCCCTGGGATCCTCTTGGGAAGAGCCGTGTGCAGCCCCTGAGTCCAGCCCTCTGGAATATCTGCAGCCGCTCTGAGGGCTGGAGAGTGGGCACAGGGAGTGGGACCCCCCAGGCAGGAAAGAGCTCCAGGAGCCCCAGCTCTCTGGCCAGGATCCTGTGCTCAGGGCCTCTCCTCTGGGGTCCCACGGCCCGCGCCTTTTATGACTGGGAATCTAGAGCAGCCGGCGTCTCTGCCTTGGTGAGGAGGGGAGGAAAGGAGCTTCCAGGACAAAACACATCTGTCCCTCACTCACCTGAGTGCAACCTCAGGGCCCAGCACAAACCTGGGCCTCAGCAGACACCCGCCAGCGAATGCTGAGCGCACCACGAGGGAGCGGGTCATATCATCTCCGGGCGTCCTGAGTGCCCACTCCACGCTGGGCACTCGAGTGAAGGAATAAGGAAGAGGAAAATGTGCCCCACACCCAAGTGACCGCCCAGCCATAGCAGGGGCAGAGACTTGGCCTGGGCAGGGGTTCAGCATGCCTGGCAGAGCTCCCCCAACGACTGTTCTCGCTTGGGCTGGGGGGAACTTGGAGGAGCTGGGGGAGGCTGGTTGGGGAGGGAAGCGGAGCAGCCTCAGTGGTCTTGGCAGCTGAGAAGTGACGGGCAGCTTTTAAGGGAAGTGCCTCTTTCTGTCCCCACCATTAATGAGCGTCCCGAAGCCTCACCTTGTGTCTTTGTCCGTCATCTTTGTTCGGTGACAGTTGAGAAAGACCCGGAAGCCCCTCGATGCAGTAATAGCTTCTCTCCCACCTCCTGCTGCTATTCAAAGCTCTGGCCCCGATGTCTTCCCCGCGTGGTTTTGATTAGGAGGGAGAAAAATAGTTATGTATTTGAAAAACTCTCCCTTGAGTGATTTCTTTGAGAAAAAAAAAAGTCATCCATATCAAAGCAGATGCTTTCAGATTGCAGGTCCAAATATTCTGGAAAGTTCAGGAGTCACTTGCTATTTAAATCTCTTGAAAGCCGCCTAGTTAATTACTCCAGTTAGGAGGTTTCATCTAAATTGTGCTCCACACCCAAGGTCGCAGAGGAAGACTGATATATTTCGGCAAAGAGCTTCAAAAATTGTTGATTTTTTTTCTCCTCCTGCAAAGCACCGCAAAGCAATCTTGTGTTTGTATACCACTTGTAGTTCCGATGCAATTTCTCCGCAAATTATGTCACTGCGCATCGCAGTATTTATGTGAGGCGGGGACGGGGGGAAGGACGATTCTCCAGGGTCCCGGAGAGAGAAGCGTCTGGCTTTGCAGGGTCTCGGAAAGGGAAGCGTCTGGCCTGCAGTCACACAGACCTTGGCAGGAGAGTTTTCTTGAGTGTCGAGGTGTCCCGACCCCCAGGTCTTCTTGCCCTGGGCCATGTGGTGTGTGCGGGTAGGCGAGTCTGATGAGTCTGTGAAGCTTCATATGCATGCGTTGTTCTAGGCCAGTGGTTCTTAAATCTCAGCGTGCATCAGAAGGCCTAGAGGGCAGATGGAAACAGACCGCAGGACCCCAACCCCAAAGTTACCGATTCAGTGGGTCCTGGGACAGGGCCCGGGAATGTGCATGTCTGTCAGGTTTCCGGGTGATGCTGTGCTGCTGGCCCTGGAACCCCACTTCTGAGAACCGCTGGTCTGGTCTAAGGAAGGGGCTCCTTTGATTAGAGTGACCCAGGACACGCGGGCAGCTCTGGACAGCAGGGACCACCTGTCTCCGGCCTTCTTCCAGGGTCTGAGCTGATGCCCAAAGCTCTGTCCACGCGCATCATCGGCGGCATCTGGTGGTTCTTCACGCTCATCATCATCTCCTCCTACACGGCCAACCTGGCCGCCTTCCTGACTGTCGAGCGCATGGAATCGCCCATCGACTCCGCCGACGACCTGGCCAAGCAAACCAAAATCGAGTATGGGGCTGTCAAGGACGGAGCCACCATGACCTTCTTCAAGGTGAGGCTTTCTCCTCCAGTAGCAGCACCATGAACTGACCCTCCTCTGACCCTATGAGTGACAGAGGAAGGGGTGTCTCTGTCCTTCCTTAACCTCACAGAGCCAATGGGCCAGAATCCCAAGGGCACAGTCCCTCCCTGGTGAACCAGCTGCCTAGGGGACACTGTGAGTTGCTCTCAGCACAAATTCTACACGTTTCTGTCCCTGGGACAAGCAATGCGAATGTGCTGTGATTTGTTAAGTCATCAGAGGATAATTAGCAAGGGGGCGTGAGAACTAGAAGGAAGGAGAAGAGTGGCCCTAGGGATGGGGGCTCTCTGCCCTGAGCTTTGGGTCTTAAGGCACCCATCTGCAGGAAGCTGTTGTGGGGCTGGGGTTGAGCTCTTCACCACAGAGACAGCACAGGGGTGCGTGCCCAGAGGAAGGGGGGAAGCTTAGAACTGTAAGTGTTGGCTCAGTTCGCCGTGCTTATTCCCCTTCTGCCAGACCAGGAGGATTTAGAAGATTCCGGTGACCCTGAGAACCAGTAGCTGTAGGTGTTCTACCGGAAACAACCGTTCTAATCACAATAGCTCCCCCACCCGGAGCTCACAGTGGGCCCACCCGGTGCCAGAAGCTTGGCTTCGCCTGCTCTTCATGACAGTCCTGCGGGGCTAGGCCCGTGACGGTTTCTCTTTACACACGTGGAGACCGCAGCTCAGAGCAGTCCGGCAGCTCATCTGAGGCCCCACAGTGAGGGGAGCGGAGGCCCACCAGGGCAGCCTCCATGTACACCCATGTCTTGGCCCGTGGTTCTCCGACTCATGTCGTCCGGGTTCTTGGAGGACTTGCTGACATTGACGCTGGGCCACCTCAGGATGTGGCTCGGGAGGTCTGGGTGGGGCCGCAGACTGCATTCCGACGGGCTCCCAGGAGAGCTGGTGCAGCTGGTTCCAGCTCCACTTGGAGACACTCCACTCTGATCACTTCTCAGAAACGCTCAGGGCTTGGAAACCGGCTACAGAGCCTTGCCCTGGCTTTTGGTTTGTCAGCGACTGCTCTCCGTCAGGCCGGAAGCCGGGTGCTGCCCCCTTCTCTGGCCCTCGCTCCCCACCCCAGCCGTTGCCTCCTCCCAGGCTGTGCTGAGTGAGGGGTGAGCCCGAAGCAGGAAGAGTGGGTGGGAAAGCCTCTGCCATGGCACTGGCGCCCCTCTCCCACTGCCCTACCCCAGTCACCCATGTGTCCCCCTTGAGGTCAGAAGTAACTACTTAGTGAAGCAAAGGGAGAGAGGAAAGAGACCCCCCCCAGGGCCAGCAGGTGGTGTGGTGGTTAAGGTGCTGGACTCTCATGTGGCTGACTGCAGTTCAAGTCCCGGACCTGGGAGCTTGCTTTCTCATTTTCTGTCTCTCTCTGGTCAGATTTAAACTATAATAATAACAAATGAAATAATTTTTTTGTTTAAAGAGGCGCCCCTCTCAGTGACACTGGGAAGGAGCCAGCCGGCCTGCCGAAGAGTGGGGCCCTGGCCAGTGCCGAGGGAGGGAGCAAAGCCCTACCAGAGGCACCTTAGAAGCTCTGTGGGACTCTGTGTGTTCCCGAGTGTGAGCTTGTGTGAGCATGTGTACATGTGCACGGCTGCATACGTGCACACACAGAGTATATACTACATGTCGGTGTGTGTTTGTGTATGCACACGTGCCGTGCTTGCGTCTGCCCACGCGGATGCATGTGTCTGTGTGCTCGGGTTGCTCGTGTGTATGTGAACTGGTCAGCGTCTATCTCTGTGATCTGGCCATGGGCATATGTGCCTGATGTCTTCATGTACTCGTGTGCTGAGGGTACATGTGTGTCTGTCCCCACACGTGTGCTCCATAAGCGAGGGTGGGCCCCTGTGTGTGTGATGGCCCGTGTGTGTATGTCTGCACGTGTGTGTATAGCCCTTGTGTGTGTAATGGCCCGTGTGTATGTCTGCACATGCGTGTATAGCCCCTGTGTGTGTGATGGCCCGTGTGTGTATGTCTGCTTGTGTGTATATAGCCCCTGTGTGTGTGATGGCCCATGTGTGTATGTCTTCACGTGCGTGTATAGCCCCTGTGTGTGTGATGGCCCGTGTGTGTATGTCTGCGTGTGTGTATATAGCCCCTGTGTGTGTGATGGCCCATGTGTGTATGTCTTCACGTGCGTGTATAGCCCCTGTGTGTGTGATGGCCCGTGTGTGTATGTCT